TGAGTGGTGAAATCAATAACTCTATCCCAGACAGCTCGAACTCAAAAGTTAGATATGTTACCCTGACAATGAAGTGGACACTATCAATCCTAATATAGTGAGTGACGATACTACCACTACTACTAATACTAGCACAATCATTGTTTTCATCATCATCGTTATCAGACTCAAAGTGCTGATAAATATCTCCTCTACATCGGGTGTTCCAAATCATGTATAAAGTCGAGCGCCACAGAGATATCTCAAAATAAAATGACAAAGCGCTTATTCACAGAAATCTCTCATCACATATCATCGAATGTGGAATTCTTTACAAGGAGTGTAAATTAAACTCTATCCATACAAGTTCAAGGTACACTAGCTAGTTCTCACGGCTTGTAACTCACATGCAGCCTCAAAATATCTGTCCAGAATACAAGTTGGACGTTAGTCTCAACAACAAAAGATCAGGCAGCACAATGGATTCTGTGCATTTCGAAGTCTACCACAAACTTCCAAACTATTTACTAATTAATAAAAATATGTCAGTGACCCAGAACCCATTTGATTTGAGCAAACATTTTCATGTAATCCGCGAGAGATTCCAGGCTGACAAGTTAGTATAACATGCATACATGGCATAATATCACGTTTATGCTGGAGAAATTTCGACTCCAAATCACAAGATATTTTCGAATACAACTCACACTACCTCACGAATGACAAAACTTTCACTTCAAATAACAAACAGTGTCACATTAGTTCAAGAGAGTGGCTTGACGAAAATTCTATTCTCCGACAATCCCAAATCTTACGATAATTTCCTCGTTTCAGTCAAACTGCAGTAAGATTAGGCCACTTCATCAACATGTTTCCACTGTCGAAAAGAAACGCTAATCGTGAAATTTGTCCGTTTCTCCTACCCTCAACTTAAAAAGCTGCGTAGAGAGAAGGAAAAACTATATAAAATGAAAGATAAAAGTGGTGTAAAAAGAACTAACTTCTTAATCAAGTCTGAAATGCAGAGGTTGAATGTAATATATAACCAGAAATTCATATCCTGCAAAAATGCTTCTAATATGTGGAAACTATTTAAGGAAATCACTGGTGGTAAGCAGATATACAATATTCCGTATTCTTTTGATGTATGTACTCTTAATAAATCTTTTATTTATTCTCCCTCAAATGCCATGCTTCCCAGCATCACTAGTGTTTATAATAGCCCCTTTCCAGATTTTAACACAAATTATGTTCAAAAGTGCCTCAAGTCTCTGAACCCTTCCCAGAGCTTAGGTCCTGATTATGTACCTAGTATTATTTCTTTTTATGTTCTGATATTCTGTGTCACCCTCTCACTGATCTATTTAACAAATCTTTTTCCAGTAATATTGTGCCTGCCGTTTGGAAGGACATTAAAGTTGTACCTATACCTAAATCATCTACTGGAGCATGTGTCAAATTTAGACCCATTGCTATTACCTCTCCTTTTTTGAAAACTATGGGGAAATTACTTTTACTTAGTCTTCTACCTTCGCTTAAATCCTTTAATGACCCTAAACAATTTGCCTATAAGCACAGTAAAAGCACTTTAGATGCAGCTGCCGTCTTATATCATAACATTGCTTCCAGTCTAGACAAGGGGGCTATATTTGTTCGTTGTGCCTTCCTAGACTATACATCTGCTTTTGACTCGGTCCCTAGGGACATCTTATTAAATAAACTTGCTGCAAGTCAAACAGAATGTTGGACTGTTAACTGGTTACATTCCTATTTCTCAGAAAGAAAGCAGTACACCATATATAAAGGGAAGTCTTCCACTTCATTGCCTACTGAAGCTGGTGTCCCTCAAGGCGCTGTCCTTTCTCCTTTTTTTTTTCTTTCTTCTTACATGACTTGCCTCACTCTGATGAAATAAACTTTGTGAAGTACGCTGATGATTTAACAGTTTCAATGGCTGTTAACTCCCAGCTAGATTGTACCAAAATAAATAGCTTTCTGTCGGGAGTCAGTAAATGGTCTGAGTCTAACGGTCTTAAACTGAATCCTTCTAAACCTCAGACTGTTAATTTCAGCTTAAGATGTAAAAGACAGTTAAAAGAAGCCGTCGATTCTCATGGCAGTTGTAAGATTGACGACATTGATATAGGAATTAAATCAGAAATTAAGTATCTTGGACTTATTATCTCTTCTGATCTCTCCTGGTCCTCCCATGTCTTAGCGATCTCCAGTAAAATATTCCGCCTGACATTTTACATTAAGAAGTTAAGGAACTCTGGTATAACTCAACCCCTCCTTTTACAGTTCATAAACTCTTGCATCCTACCTATTCTTCTTTATTGTTCACCCTTATTCTTTCCTGGTTTGCTTAAAAAGGACTTTGTCACAATTCGTAGAATGCTGAATACTGTCAGTAGGGTGAGTAGTGTCCCAATGGGCCACATAGTTAACGTCGTTGTCGATAGGCACTTGACTTCGTGCAATAAATTTGCTAAAGGGATTTTGTCTGACTTGGAGCATCCACTTTACCCTCAGCTTTCACCTTGCGTCTCCTCAGGTAGAACAAGAAGTAACTTCAGAAAACTGTATGCTCGCACGTCTAAGTATAAAAATTCTATGATACCATACTTGGCACGTATTTTATGTGATGAAAATAGCGTCAGGCAAGAATTGACTAACCTTTTTTCATCTAGTAAATAAACAATTTCCTCCATCCATCCTTATATACCTTCAAGTTTTACTTTTATTATTTCTATTATATTTATGGTCCTGTTGCTTCTTTGTTTTACTTTCATAATTGCAAACACCAACTTATCTCTATGACTGATGTAATCTTTGTTTTTCCCCTCACCATATCATGTAAAGAGAACATTATATTCAATATTTTTAAACATGCTAGGATTTCTATACCGCATCGACAATACTGTGTGAAACAAGCCCACGGCAATTTTCACTTGTATTATTATTATTATTATTATTTATCATTATTATATCAGCTGTAATCATTATTATTATTTCCATTTTATATGCTGCATGTTTTTGACATTACCCCTATTGTAAATGTGGAAAATTTTCTGTGTGATTAAATTTATTTATAATTTGAGTAAATAAGATGTAACATTGCGATTAATGCTGAAAATTCCATTCTGTATCACAAGTACTGTTATTGGAATAAAGTAAAACATTATTATTATTATTCAGGGAAGCTATGCAGAGATATTCACCAAAGAGTGCTGTAACAACAAACACTTTCGTACTCAAGTAGTACAGTCAGTTTAGTCTGAATATTACAAATGTATCAACCAGTTGATAAGATGTGGCTCCGACTCTCTCTCTATCTCTCTCCTAATTCCAAATGAAGCCCTCGTATTCTACAAATATATATACTCATCAGAATGAGAATATTTGTGCGACAACATCCCTAATAAAGATAGCTCTTTCACAAAGCCTCCTGGAAATGCGATACTCATTGCTAGTGAAAAACTCCTTAGTTCATCACACATCCCTCCACATCAACATTTTTATTTCGTATAAGATGAAGTCAACGCCAAATCAGTCAGTCACTGACACTTCAATTTAGTTTAGCAGTCGAACAAAATGACAACTACTGCTAACAGCCAATCCAAATGCAATGAATGATTACACAGTGACTTTAGTCATATTTCAAGCAAATAATTGTCAGTGAATCACGCCTTATTGACAGTCGTCGTCCACACACACACACACACATACTGACACCACGTATTTTAGTAGACCGATTAGCCATCAAGCGGTGGTCAGTGTGCTTCTCCACTACTAATTCTGTTCACAAAGTCTACTGACCAACGTTCCACTTTGTTAGTCAGTCAGTCAATCAATCAATCCTCTCATCCACTGCGCTCTCATATTGTTGGCCAGTGTATTGTGTCAGCTGTCTTCAATGTACTCGCAGTGAGATGTATGAGTACGAATCTAGTCATTACTCATCTTTCTTTCATTTGTTCACACTAGATTTGAATGTATGAGTATTATTGTCCCAACCAATTATACACTTATCATTCCATGCATCAGTCGGAAATCTTTATATTCTCACAACTCTCTCTCTCTCCACTGACCTCTAGTAATCCGTCGATATTCACAAAATCTGACTTTGAATTTCCAATAAATTCGACCGACATATAGAGGTCACAACATATCAGAGAGTCAATTCAAATTATCCTAGTCTGAGACAATCAATCAAATCACTCTGACTTAACAAGCGAATTCAGCGTATCCGATTGGTGAGTGTAAGCCACAAGGGCGGACACTAATCGATAACCTAGTGCTACATGTCATGTTTCCAAACCTGACGGTAACCTATCCACAGACGAAGATATGAAATGAAAAATGTGGAAAGGTAGTCACTGACTCAATGTTATCTATTACGACTTCGAATCATGCCAGAAAATGCGATAGAGATGCAGATCTATCCTAAACAATTTGGTCTACACACTGTGTTGTCAAACCCACTGACCAAAAACTACTCATTATCAAAGTCTGAAGTGCATTCAGAATCTCTGATGAGTGGTGAAATCAACAACTCTATCCCAAACAGCTCGAACTCAAAAGTTAGATATGTTACCCTGACAATGAAGTGGACACTATCAATCCTAATATGGTGAGTGACGATACTACCACTACTACTAATACTAGCACAATCATTGTTGTCGTGTTCATTAGAGTTTATGTTTTGATAAGTAACTCGTCTACATCGGGCATTCTAAATGATGTTTACTTTTGGTTGCGATACAGACGCGTGGATTTACAATGTAGAAATTTGTTGATATATTAAATTTGAGATCACTATTGACGATTGGTGAATTCTCTCTAGGCATTTATTATCTTGGGCTTATTTTGTATAATTCACCAGCATAGGTAAAAATATTTTGAACGGACGGTGACACTAGATTCTATGAATTCTGCTCTGAATAATTTCGCTTAGATTTATTGTGGTCTTATTAATATCATGAATGTATCAGGGGTGTTTAAGCGTTTCGATGTTCGAAGCTCTATGCCTCGTTTTTCATAGGTAGAGATATATATTGTTGCAGATTATCGGTTACGATCGAGGCTTCAGTAGGAATAAGATATCTTTCGAACTTTATCGGCTTAGATAAATGTTTTTTAGACTTTTTTAAATTTTAATTTCATGCTAACGAGCATGCCATTTTCATTTTAAGAAATGTCGGGGAATGTTGATTTGTGACGTTTATTTGATTAGTTTCATATTGTTGATACGTTTGAAAAAAAAACACTGACTGCATAACTCTTTTTAAGTTAGTTTACGTAATTCTGTATTTTTTGAAATAGTAAAAAGGTCTGTACATAAGGGTGGATACAGTTAGCATTCCACTAAGTGAGAATAGCCCCACTGACACATAAGACAAATCAATAGCTCAAAGGTTACAGATTACTTTTTGATGAAATTTTCACAAAATTCTCCGTGTAATTCCATAACTGACAAGCGAAATCAAGATCAAGTGAATTATCAGGCCATTCGATAGGCATACAATTGTTATACAGCATACCACTACCTGATGTTAGTGTTATGGTGGAATGAGATAAATTAGCATGCTTCGAAGGGACTTCATTACTAACTGCACAGTGGACAGAAGTTTGACATCCTTCCATAGGTGATTTTAACATTAGTCTCATTAAACCATTAAGCACCCACTGGACGACTGGTGTATATGACATTAGAGTATCTCGAGTTAGATTAGTATTCACCATCCCACCAGTGAATAAACAATAAACATCAAGTATTTTATTCTCACCTGATCCATATCTTCGATGAAGTTCACGTGAAAACAAATTACAAGCCAGTTTAGAGTCGGCATATGCTTTGCTGCAATCCATATCTAAGGTGCTGTCAAGAGGTTTGAACAGGGAATCTATTGTGAAGCTACCTTTCCTTGATAAAGAAGAGCTAACGTTAATCACTCGCGGATATATAGATGTTTCTTGATATGATTTCTGAAGATGTGGTATGAGCATTGAAGTTAAGTAGAAGTGTCCCACATAGTTAGTAGCCAAAGTAACATTAATGCCTTGAAAAGACATTGATGGACGTAGAACCTTGGGGAATACACCTGCATTATTAACTATAACATGAACAGGTAAAGATAGTGACTTTACAAATTCCTCTATGGACTGTGGATTCTCCAAATCCAAATAGTTAACACAGATGTTGTGATTACCTGTAAGAGTTTCAATTTCTTCTTTCACTTTGTTAGCAGAATTTACGTTCCTAAAGATTTTGAAATACAAATATCTTTGATATGAAGCAGTATTTACCTGCAACCAAATGTAAGTTTCCAACTTCTTTTGGCTAATTCTATTGCAGTTGCCCGACCAATACCAGAATTAGCACCAGTAATGACAGCATGCCGACCAACTGGAGAAAGGCAATCACAGAAAACTGTCTTTCTCCATAAAAACGAACGCATTGTGTAAATAACAATACTACTAACAGTGGAGCCGAAAATAAGCAACCACAGGTTCATGTAAATTCACGAAACTTCGATTGTGAGTAGCCTGGAATGCAAACAATAATTACAGTGGTAAGTTTATATTACAATAACTGCATTACTATTCTGATTAGAGACTAATAAATATTTTCTGCTTACCTAGCATCCTGCGAAAAAAGACTCTAAGGTCGACCTTATAAGAAGGCACTAGAAATCAAGGATCATCGGATATTTGTTCCTTTATAGCTCCTAAACCTCAAGAAAAGATAACAAATATTTTTGTTTGGGATCACAGTCATAATTCTCAGATCTTGTGGATACAACATTACGGTCTTAGCGACTAGATAGGATGCCAATAGTTATTGATTGCCAAATTCTGTGATCTAGTGTAAAGACTAACAAATGTCGAAAATGAGCAGCCGTTTTCACAATCAACTTGAACACTAGTCACAGCGAGTCGTACAATTCCTGAAAAATTCATCCCGCAACCAGTCGCTAATTTGTTTATACGATAAGATTTTATCCTATCTCAAGTAAATACACAATGCTGCTTTTTCGAGATGGATTATAATCGAATACTAAAAACACAATGGCACTGATTTTAAGCAGGAAATTCCAACTGTTTAGCTATGATGTCAGCTTTTACAGCATCACTTCTATATAGTTTGTTCGAGGTGCGGTAGAACTGTCTAGATATTCACGACAGGTATCTAGCCAATCCTGTTGCACGGAAAATAGACTAACATAATTGTAGTTACAAATTTCTCCCGTCTTTATATTACATTGTACGTCTGACCACACAATGTGGGTCATATGTGAATGTAAGTGACAGTAGGCCTGAGGTTTCTTTTAGGTTTAACATGAGTTGTATATTCGCAATTTTGTTTACTCCATCAGCTAAAAATACTGGTGATAGGAATAACTCAGAAATTGTACCGGATATTTAGAAAATTCTGCTATCCCTACGTCTAACTACGGTGGAGAATTAGTACAATGAAAACCCGTTTTGAAATTATGGAGTTGCATTTTTGATAACGAGAAATAAACAAGTCCGAGTCCTGACCTAGTAGATAACATTGCCAAATAGCATAATATATCTAATAAACTTCTGTGGATTTGCATACTATCGCAGTCTTCATGTAACTTATATGAACTTGGTTATAGAAAATAAATAATTTTTCTGGTTGATGCTCAAAATCCCTGAAGTACGCACAGATATTGTACTACATTTGACGGCTAGACATGCCTTGCCTTTAGCTGAGGTGCTTTACTCAAGCATTACCCTTAATTGGTTTCCAAAGATAACTAGAGTGAGGAAAAATTGAAGTCACTCGAAGGGCTGAGAAATAGTAAGGTAGCGATAAAAAATTGCCTATGCATTACCTTTACCTTGCTAAGCCAGTTATAAGACTGGTAAAGAGGGAAGGTTGGGCATGAAGCTAGCCACCCCATCCTGTAAAAATAATTGCCACTGCTACAGAAACTTCAAGCCTCTAACTTGGAGCCCCATGTTCCACTGGGAACGTATACAAATAAAAAAGCATTAATAATTGGGTTCAAATGGGTGATCAAAAGATACCAAAATAGGGAACAGAATTCCCCTATTCAAGGAAACCGACTTTGGTTCCCACAGTCTAAGACTTTCCTCTTAAGTGAAGAAATAAGTCAGAAACTTTAAGATAATGATAGTATGCTTTTTTACTGTAACTATCAGAGAACCTTGTTTGTCAATAATACAAGGAGAATAGACAAAGTTAATGTGACAGCTTTCATCTCGACGTTTGAAAGTCACCCGAGTTTTTCACTCCTACAGCTACGAACATATTTTTTCAGTATCTGAGGTACAAAATCGCCATTAGTACTTTATATCCAAATACATATGCGTCGGTAAGATACACTGATGTTTACTATCGTTAGGTTTTACGATTTATTAGAAGCTTATAATCATATGGCATTCAGTCGATCAATACAGATATGCTTTACCACACAAGAGACTGTGGGTAGTCCCTAAGTAGCATCAGTAAGATAACATGGAATCCTCTAATATTTAAGTTTGTAATACTTACTATAGTACCCAAGCTTACAATAATGCTGAATTAAATCTCAGTAATTCTGAAATAATTCTTGCATCCTATAGTGAGTAAATTCTGAATCTGTTCTGAAATGGTTTGTTTAATGGCACAGACTAGAACTCAGTGCTGGTTTTCAGCATGACTAGAACTAATTCAGCACCATGTTCTTTTTCTAGGCATTTTCACGAGTAGATCAGAACATACTGGGTTTCCTTATCAGCATTGTTCCAGCCATTACAGGAAATATTAAGCTCTGACTAGCATTACTTCAGAACGAAAAGACCTAATTCAGCACATAGTGGCAATTTTTTCAGCTTAATTCTAGCCTTCTCAGCACATATTCAGAACTGACTAGCATTACTTCAGAACGAAAAGACCTAATTCAGCACATAGTGGCAATTTTTTCAGCCTAATGCTAGCCTTTTCAGATTTTGTCGCATTAATTCAGCACCCAGCTCTCTTTTTAAGCACGACCAGCGTTATTTAAGAACATAGTGGGTAGAAAAAATTTTCATTTACCATAAAAAGGCATTATCAACGCATAGGTTAGAATAAGTTTAGAATTGTTGTAAGCTTGGGTAAGTAAACAAAATATCCCTCCTAACCTAAAAATAGAAGTTAGTGCCACTATTCATTGACACAGAGTTTATTAACGAAACTAAACGACTGATTCCGCTACACCCATAAGTCTGGGGTCTCCAACAGTGAAGACAAAAAACAGTAAATTAGCAGTATTAATTTGATACATTTCGCATTTATTTAAAAGTCCGCTACAGCTTGAAGGTCACACCACTCACGTGCAGATAGAAGCTTGAAGCCTGAGACAATCCTTTTTTAATAAGCATCTGCGCTGTCTAATACCTTATTGAACTAGACGGTTGAGGGCTCAGACACCACTTCTTCTGGAAGTCGGTCCCGAAACTTTTAGAGTGGGTGGGAGGACCAGTACTCCATAGATATTTAGTTCCTTCTTCGTTTCGAAGCTGTCCTGCTATGGCCTGCGAGATGTTCAGGTCAAGTTGAAGGAAAAGGGAAGATGGACAAGGTCCGTAATCATTTCTTAGAATTTTGAACATTGCTGGGATGCTTCGATAGAGATTTCCCTCACTGACAACAAAGTGAGTAATACCTCACTAGTAATCTTAGTAAGGTTGCTGAGTACTGCCTATAAGGACCCGAAATTCTGAGCCGTATTCGCTACAGTGTGCGTTTCTATTACATCTAGAGCCAGTGTGCATAACAGTTGATAGGAGTGTTAATCCCTTTGTCACAGGAACTGACTCTTGCGAGTCCACTTTGCACTTCACTAATTTCACTAGGGTCATCTAATATTTGGACCGCTCGATCAGTTCGTTAAGACCTCATCGCGAATCGAGCACACATAAGGTCTCTCCAAATGTTTCAGTTACCTGTGCGGAGAATCACGGTAGATTCCATGAGCCTAGTTTATTCACTGACAAACAAGATATATACGGCGGCCCAGTGCGATACCCTGTATAACCCCACTACGTACCATTATCCGGTAAAAGAGCTCTAAGCCCACTTTCACTCTGTCCCCAAACTCTGAAGAATTTCTAAATCCACTTAATAGGTCATAGATTTCAAATTTTCATTTCATCAGCCATGTTGAATCAGGCAATTTGTCAGAAACTCCAGAGAAGTAGTTTGCGATCTCTCCCGCTCATTCTAGGCTCCCCTCGATTGTGCTGACTTCAATAGTCATGTTATGGACTCTAATAGGCATTTTACTCATGCGGTTTGTGAAAAATACTATTTCCATGAGTGGTACCATTGTGTTTTGAGTTGAAAATCCAAATCAATATTAATATATGTGTAAAACTTGGGCACTGTGGTAGTTAGCAATTTCATATTATAAAAAATTATATTTGTAAAATCTCAGCGCCCAAGCCATGTCTTTTGACATGATTTTTACGGATTTCTTCATCGATCAAATGATGAATAGTCCTTCGTATAACTGACTAGGCTTCTCAGCCTCGCTTACCCACAACCGTGTTTTCGATAGTAAAAGTTCTCACCCTGAAGTTGTTTCCTACACTGATATGAACAGTCAGTTGATAATTTTGGTAGATTCGAATGATTTTAACTGCTACTACTGCAGAGAATATCCTGTCTAAAGTTCATTTCACCGAAACGATGTCGTGTTCGAACCTGCGTATGAGGTTTGAAACTTAAGGTTCCACCAATCTATGGAAAGAGGATGACGGACTGGAGAAATCAGGTTCGCTTTGATTGTTTATTTGCTTTGAGGTGACTTTTTTTCTATCTTTCATAATTGTAAGACTCATGATGTTGGAGGGGGGAGTGTGTGTCTGATGCACTGTCTAGAATGCACGCAAATATAGTGTAGTAAACCTCCGTAGGTTACAAAGCTCTGGCTGAAAATCAGAAGGACGACCAATGGTTAAAGCATATCCTACTGCAAATAACTTTAATCTCGAACTTAAACAATCACCATCTCCTGTAGATGGCAACCTGATATTCTGTAACACACTCACCCACTCCCTTCATCATTAAAATTATGAGAAAATTCACATTTAGTAGTTTTCACTATTACTGCACCGCGGAGCACAAACTTCAGCTAAAATAATTTCTTTGAGATGCTTTTGGCCTAAAATACCACGGGACCTGCAAAAGAGGGAGTGTGCATAATATGCCAGAGGGCGTAAGTAATCATACCTTGAGAAGCATCCTCACTGCAGGACATTATTTTCACCCACGTTAATAAGGAATTGGTAGGTTCGATGCCAAACTCATATGGATTCTCTTACTTACTCAGGTCCCGGTAGCTGCATCACTTACTGATATTCCAGAGGAAACAGTAGTAGAGGCGTTTCTTTAACAACGGGTAACCATTTTCCTTGGCTGTAATGGCAACACTTGACATACTGGCTCGATTAGAGTCCGAGCCCTTCATCAGCCAATCAAAATTTACAGGATCGCATAGAATCCACTGTACAGCCCACACCTTCACATCAAAGGGGTTAAAGAACACTTTCATAGACAGATGGAAACTGCGTTACCATCCCACTCTGTCTCCACTCAATAAGAAGGTAATGTGGCGCATGCAGGTCAGGAGATATGGTTGAGGTCGCAAATGTGAATCGTTCCAATCTGTAGGACGGCAACATGCATTTCTGACAGCTGGAGGATTAAACATGAGTTTAGATCTTTGAAACAAAAACAAACAGTAATGATTGCTGAGACCTGAATAAGAAATAGTGCTTCTGCTCCTAACATCTACAAGTCTGTTCAGCTTCTTATAGGCACTACTCAGCTTCGGGAGATGTCTTTCAGGTCGGCATGTCCAACGTGTTCTAACCTTTCAAATCTCTTATGCCACCTCAGACTAAACCATCTCTTATATGTTTTACAAAAATTTTTTATCTAAATACTATTACTCTCCATTATATCTATACTGTAAATGCCTATAACGTAGCTTAAACTGACTCTTTTCATTTTATTTAAGCCTAGGATCATAACATTGGCCTAAGCCTATGCCTAATATCCAGGAAGTGGTATTCGGAACCACTCGAAGACCTCGTGATGAGTTTGTCAGTCCTGCTGACGATGAGAACGGACTGACAGCCCATAACGCGTATTCGAAGTTTGTGTTACTTTGCCGAGTGATTTTAAGTTCTTTGTATTTCTTTGCGGGCTCTTTTATCCTAAGTTTTTAAGTGATATTTCAGTATTACTCTTTATCATTATAAATAGCATTAGTTTTGCTATCCGAATTTCCTCTCCTAGCCTTTAGATATTACCCTTACCACTTCTCCTATTTTAGACTGCTGTTTATCTCTACCACATCGAGCATCTGACTTAAGGTCTCCACACTACAAATGCTAATTTGACATAGCGTCAAACAATCAAAGATTGGTATACCACCAGTCCGACAACTCCTTAGAAACTTTCCACAAAATATCAGCTAAGAAATCCGAGCGTCATGCCTCATTATCTTCTGAAACTTCAACAACGGATGTAAATCTGTTAAGATTATACGGCTTGGTGACACACATCCCTTCATCCAACGGAGAAGTAAAACAAGCGCAGGTCAAACATTATTGCCCCTTCGCCATCTTGTGTGATTAGTGGTTTTATTAAAGATATTTATAACAATACAGGTGACGCAACATATATCGTGGACAGCTATCAAACCTCCTGGTATCTCCATAAAAGGCCAAACATCTGTTGTTTTGATTTGGCTGAATTCACACTACCAAAGTAGTGTGACTGTCAGTCATAAGGCCCATAAGTACACGTTATCACCTGTCCCTACGGACATCAATTATTCTTGCTGTCTCGAAATTAATAATAATAATAGTGTATTCTCATTTTTTACATGAGGGACGCCAGTTTACAGGCATCATCAATTCGATAAATTACACATACGATTAATAAGTATAGTTAGTAATGATAATATAATAAGGTACATATTTATTCATTCAAATATAGGACACACAAGTTGTATAGGAATGGATAAGAATTATTTAAGTGACATATTTAAATTACATGATTTACGGTTAAATAACATGGTTGTTGTCATTTTATCTTTAGTTTGTGGGGAAAATCGGATAGCTGGTGATTCAATGGAACACACCAACAAATATAGAGATATTGACTTCGCATTAACAAAAAAAACACAAGTATGCGTTGGATGGATTACAGATGCTTGGGAAAATAAATAAAGCTTGAAGTCAATTCCCTCATAAAACAATAAAATGCGTCTTACAATAATATATTCTCACTTTATGCACATGAGGGACTCCAGTTGACAGGCATCATCAATATGATAATAATGCACACACGGAGTAAAAATGTTTAAAATTTTTCACTAACACAAAATATATATACAAGGGAAGATAATGAAATGTTGACCGTAAGTACACTCTGCATAAGTTAAAACAGTTTATGTGGCATAATCCTAGGCACAATTATTGTTTGAATTTGTTGAACATGAGCGAAACAACTGAGTGTTGCGTTACATTCGGTCGATATGGTGGGCTAGTCACAAAAGTATAAAAATGGCTTATAAAACGTTACTCAGTTTACCGTAAACGATGTTTTAAGCAATATAAACTGCAAAAGGCTCACCACAGCAGTTAGTATCCAGTTAAACATGCAGAGAAGTAATTATAATTCAGCAACTGGTGAATTTTTTATTCTTTTCGGTCTGGAACCTGAGTAGCTGCGAACCAATCCATACAAAAATGTCGAAAGAGGCATTCAGGAGCAGAATTTTGCCACCGAATGAGTCATTGGGATCTGAGATGCAGTTATCAGCATATTTTCGTCATTTCATAGATATCCAGATTTATTGACGCTGTATAGGTAGTGATTTGGATTTATCATCATGATCGACATATGGACGAATATTCAAAATCGGAATACAACTTGTTTGCTTTTCGGATTTACTTAATTACATCGCGTGTTGGGTTTGATTACTCTGCGATTTTGATATATTCCGCGGTGTCGCCGTGATTTTGGGAAGTGTGCATATGCTTTAAATGCATTACTTTATTGGCTGCAATCCCCACTGAGTGTATACAACGGGAACTGTGGATTTATGTATTTGCTCATAACTGTGGATATAATATCACCGCATTCCTTTTGGAAAGGAGACCAGTTGGTGGATTATAAATAATGTCCAAGTAACTTATATCCTTCCATGTGATGTTGTGGTAAGTCTCGACCTTGTTTTCTCATACTTCATTCGTATGTTGATTATGGTTCAGGCTTTGTATCAGGTAGACATAATTCGATCGACTCTT